GCCACCTTAGGTGTATGTGGCTGGCGCCTTAGCCGCTTGAGCCACAGGCGCCAAGCCTATATTTCTTTTTAAAATATGTTTAACTGGCTTAACTATTGAACTAAGCAATGTTTATTCTTGCACTCTCTGAGCCATTCACATACATTCAACAATGGGACTTAAACCACCCTTTGCAAAATATCAGAGTTGGCCTGCTTCGGGTTGAGAACAGTGCTAAAAATGAAGTGGAGACGATTAATTTTATTTTTATCCCCAGAGGGATAAATGAGCAGGAGACCTGCTAGCTATCTTGTCATAGAGGACTAATAGCTGACACATATATTGATTTCATTTATTTAACAAACTTATTTTATGGTACTTGCAATATACTAGGCACTAATCTAAATGCTTTTCAAATCTTTTAATCCTTAAAGTAACCCTATGAAATAGGCAGTAATGGCCCCAGTTTACAAATGAGGAAACTATAGCACAGGAGGCTTAAGTAATTTGCCCAAGGTCACACAGCTACCAAGTGGCAGAGCTTGATTTGACATCAGGAATCTGGCTCCAAAGTCTAAAGACTTAATCGCACAGTTGTAGGTGTTGTGATGATCATCATTTTACAGATGAATCCTTTTGGAGGGAGATATTAAGTCTTGGCGAACTATATTTTCTGGGGCCACCACTTATTAGAGTGCCACAAGAGGAAGTTTGAGCAGAGGCATTGACCCTTCCTGACAGAAGGGTCAGAGGAAGAAGTCTCTGCAGTCTCTCGACTCCAGGTTCACTCTCTGAGGTCCTGGTTGTGAGGCCTGAGAAACCCCCCAAGTCTCATTTGGTCTCCAGAAGTATTTGTCAGGCTCAGGGTAGACCCAGCTATCTTAAGTCGTTTGAGAAATGAGAAAGGATGGTGGAGAGGAGATGGTGGGTGGTACATAATGAACAAGGTACCCCACTCCCCCCTCCCACAGCCTGGCCTTGAGCTGTCGGAGGGGGCAACATGGCAACTTAGACCACTGTGTTGCTCACCCCTCCATGTCACTCACTGTCCTTCTTCCTCTGGGCCTTCTGCCTGGAGCACTCTTCCCCTGTTTCCTCCTAGTCCAAATTTTCCTGTCCACCAGGATGAGTTTTTCCATGAGAATGATCATGGCACTTAGCCTCTTTATCCTTACATCCTGGCACATAAGAAAAACTTAGCAGGTGTGTATCAGTGAACATATCTGCTGCTCTTACAGCTCTGAGCACTTTACACTTATAGTATACTTATATGAATTATCCCTAGACTGGAACCTCCCTGAGAACAGGGTAGGCTTTACAATGGGAAGCACAGGCCCTAAAATCTACTGGGCTTTCAGCAAAAGCTTTTTATTATTTTTTAAATTTTATTTATTTATTTATTTTATTTAGAGACAAAGTCTCACTTTGTCACCCTGGGTAGAGTGCATGGCGTCATAGCTCGCAGCAACCTCAAACTCTTGGGATCAAGAGATTCTCTTACCTCAGTCTTCCAAGTAGCTGGGACTACAGGCATTTACCACAATGCCTGGGTATTTTTAGACAGGGTCTCACTCTTGCTTAGGCTAGTCTTGAATCTGTGAGCTCAGGCATATATAGTTATTTTTTGAGACAGAGTTTTGCTCTGTCACCCAGGCTAGAGTGCCATTAGCATTAGCCTAGCTCATAGCAACCTCAAACTCCTGGGTTCAAGCAATCTTCCTGCCTCTGCCTCTCAAGTACCTGGGACTACAGGTGCCCACCACCACACCCCAGCTAAGTTTTCTATTTTTTTGTGGACACCAGGTCTCGCTCTTGATCAGGCTGGTCTCAAACTTCTGGCCTCAAGCAATCCTCCCATTTTAGCCTCCCAGAGTATTGGGATTACAGGCATAAACTACCACACCCAGCACCAAAAGCTTTTTTTTTTTCCTTTGCAGTTTTGGCCAGGCCGGGCTTGAATCCACCACTCTGGGCCTATGGGGCCAGTGCCCCACCAAGAGCTTTTTAATTGGACGAATAATGAATGGAAGATTTATTGGCCCTGCCATCAGAAACTTATATCTAGTTAGAGTGTATGGATCCTGCTAAAAATTGTCAGGTTAATAACTAGTTTTTATTGTATGCCTGAATCTTGGGCGGCGCCTGTGGCTCAGTGGGTGGGGCACCGGCCCCATATACCGAGGGTGGCAGGTTTGAACCTGGTGCCTGCCAAACTGCAACAAAAAATAGCCCGACGTTGTGGTGAGTGCCTGTAGTCCAGGCTACTCGGAAGGCTGAGGCAAGAGAATCGCCTAAGCTCAAGAGTTAGAGGTTGCTGTGAGCTGTGATGCAATCGCACTCTACTGAGGGCGACAAAGTGAAACTCTGTCTCAAAAAGATAAAATAGGCTTGGCACCTGTGGCTCAAGCAGCTAAGCCGCCAGCCACGTACACCTGAGCTGGCAAGTTCGAATCCAGCCCAGGCCCGCCAAACAACAATGACAGCTGCAACCAAAAATTAGCCAGGTGCTGTGGTGGGCGCTTGTAGTCCCAGCTACTTGGGAGGTGGAGGCAGGAGAATCGCTTGAGCCCAGGAGTTGGAGGTTACTGTGAGCTGTGATGCCAGAGCACTCTACTCAGGGCAACAAAATGAGACTCTGTCTCTACAACAAAAAAAAAAAGTGTGGCACCTGTGGCTCAGTGAGTAAGGCACCGGCCCCATATACTGAGGGTGGAAGGTTCTAACCCGGCCCTGGCCAAACTGCAACAAAAGCAGCCGGATGTTGTGGTGGGCACCTGTAGTCCCAGCTACTCAGGAGGCTGAGGCAAGAGAATCACCTAAGCCCAAGAGCTGGAGGTTGCTGTGAGCTGTGACTTCACAGCTCTCTACTGAGGGCAATAAAGTGAGACTTCTCTCTTAAAAAAAAAAAAAAAGAATCCTCTTTACTAGGACAAAACAAAAGCTTGCAAAAGTTAAACTTCTCTAAGATGGAAAGGCTAATTGTTTGAATCTATATTTGTTCCAGTTCACGTGTGTGTGTGTGTGTGTGTGTGTGTGTGTGTGTGTGCGCTATGTAACCCTGAGCCATTTGGCTCTGTGGTGTGAGAGTAAGTCCTGTCTGAGGTCTCCCAAGGCTGCTGTAGATCAGCTGATTGTTGTGAGTTAACGGAGCCTTGGCGGCCTGTCAGTGACTCCCAGAAAGAAGGGAAACATCTGTAGTGTGGACAGTGGTGGGGCCTGGTAGGGCAGGGGGGAAAAAGGACTCAGCACCAGTTTCCCACTCACGAGGAGACCACTCCAAAGCAGGCCACAGAGCCCAGGCCATGTGGTGCAAATACTCCCTTTTCTTTTGAGTCCCGGGTCCTATGTAGGGTTGCAAGCTTGGGATATCCTGCTGCCAGATTGGCAGGTCTGAGCTACCTCTCTGCCCCTTCTTTCCATCCTATTGTATCTATATTTTCTGCCATGGTGGGCCTCAGCAAGATACTTTGGACTGCTTTCTTAGAGTCCCTGTGGTTTTGGAAATGGTAGAAAAGCCAGAGCTGTCTGGGAAGGGGGAGGACAGGCTCAGTCTGTGAACTTGGCTGTAAGTCCAAGAATGTGAGCATCACAAGAAGCCAAGCACGTTCCAGGCTCTGGACAGAAGCTGCTCTAGGAACAAGGAAGGACTAGGCTTCTAGCCTCCTTCCTGGCTGTCGTCCCTCTCTGCCATATGTGTCATTCTCTTACCTATGGTCACTTCTCTCCAGTTCTGTACTCCTGGTGTGTTTGATAGTCTGATAATCCTCAGACTTTTCCATTCACTTCCCTGGCCTCAAGCTGTAGGCACTCTCTGACTTCTTGTCTCACCACACTCCCCAGGCCAAACTACAATCCCCTGACCACATCCCACACACACTGTACCCACTCACCTTCCACACAGACCCACCCTCTATCATTGCACAAGGAAGAATATGAGGCTAGGCGGGGTGGTTCATGCCTGTAATCCTAGCCCTCTGGGAGGCCAAGGTGGGTGGATCACTTGAGCTTAGGAATTGGAGTCCATCCTGAACAAGAGTGAGACCCTGTCTCTACCAAAAATAGAAAAACTAGCCAGGTGTGGTGGGTGCCAATAGTCCCAGTTACTTGGGAGGCTGAGGCAGGAGGATCTCTGGAGCCTAGGAATTTGAAGTTGCTGTGAACTAGGCTGATGCCACAGCACTTCTCTAACTTGGGCAACAGAATAAAACTGTGTCTCAAAAATAAAAAATAAAATAAGGGCCAGATGCTATGGCTCACACCTGTAATCCTAGTACTCTGGGAGTCTAAGGCAGGTAGATACCCTGAGTTCACAGGTTCAAGACCAACTTGTGCAAGTCTGAGATTCCATCTCTAAAAAATAGCCAGGTGCTGTAGTGGGCACCTGTAGTCCCAGCTACTTGGGAAACTGAGACAAGAGGATCACTTGAGCCCAAGAGTTTGAGGTTGCTGTGAGCTATGATGCCATGGCACTCTACCCGGGGTGACAAAGTGAGACTCTGTCTCTAAATAAATAAATAAAAATGAAATAGAAAAGAATAAAAGAAATTGTAAAATACAGTGGAAAGAGAATGAGTTCTGGAGTAAGGTGGGTAAGCCTGGAATTGAATTTCTTCCTGACATCTACTAGTTCTATAACCTTAAACAAGTTATTGAATTATTGATTCCTTACTGATGAAAGGAAGACCATACTATCTACCTAATGAGGCTGATATGAATATTATATATTCTAACTGTAGAGGGATAAAAATGGCAAAATAGGTAAGAATATAGACTTTAGAGTTAGGCTAACCTAACTTCCAAAATTCTAGCCCTTCACTTGCTAGTGGTGGGAATTGAGGTGAAATGCTGAACCTATTGAGCCTACTTCCTCATCTGTGCTACCGTATAGCAGTGTTATATTAAACGAAATCACACAATAAAGTGCTTAGCATACTGTTTGGCCCATAATACTTGCTCAGTACAAGAGAGAACTGTTAACATTCATTATAATGGCATGTAGAAGATGATCAGCAAATGCCCTCTCCCTTTCTCCTGTCTAATTTCCTTATATTCCTTGTCCGTACATCCCACAACAATGTCAGGACTCCCAGTTAGAAGGGAAGGGCAGTGATAACTGTGTGCCTTTTTGCAGTTTGAGATCAGAGGGAAAGAGAAAGTCTGGCCCAGGAGAGCTGGATTGGGTTTAGGCAGTGCAGTCTGGAGATATCTGAGGGAGCATCACGTGGGACAGTGATTTGTCAGCTACAATCTGCAATCACCTCCCAAACTGAGAGGATGCCCCAGGAAGGCAGCTGGCCTTGGTAGGGCTGGTGTCTTCCTGGTAATGCAAAGAGCTGTCCCTGGCTCTCCCCTACCTCTTCTCCCATTTGAACAGTCATGTGCCAGCAGTTTGATTCCTAACTTAGGGTGGAAGAACTCCTAGTTAGGATTTGAGGAGCCTCCATTTCCATCTCAGGAAGTTCTCTTTGACGTACCTTTCCCTGCAGAGTGGTGAAGGAGGAGATCTCGGACGACAATGCCAAGTTACCCTGCTTCAATGGCCGGGTGGTGTCCTGGGTAAGGAGCTCACAGCCTTTCATCCACCTGCATCCCATGCTGGGCTGGAGGGGGAAAGGCCTCGCTGAGATTATAGCTAGTGATTTTATACTTTAATATCTGAATATTCCTTAAGTTTTCTAACTGAACTGTTTCTCACCCCAGATTCTATAACCTTAATGAAAAGTGAGAGTGGTGGGAAGGGGGAAAGGAAGAGATAGAAATACACAGTAGAGACAGTAATGTCTCCTGTGGTCTTTAAGTCACTTTGCCTCAATTTCCCCATTCCCTGCTGATCTCTGCCATATGGACCACTGACCTTTTGCCCCAACTCCACCCCATGCCACCTAGCCACCTCATCAACCCAGGTAGTGGGTCCACCCACCATCTCAGCAGCTTTTGCACAGTCCTGTCTCTTCCCCCAATGTTCCTTGCTTCATTCTCCATAGGCTTTCATGCCCTGCCAGCAGCCAGCTACGCCCCTTCTCCCTGGTACCCCTTGTACCTAGTACCCTCTCCTTTTCTCCCCATCAGCTGGTATCGGCTGAGGGATCACACCCAGAGCCAGCCCCTTTCTGTGCTGACAACCCATCAGAGCTGCCGCCGCCTATGGAGCGCACAGGAGGCATTGGGGACTCCCGACCCCCATCCTTCCAGTGAGTGCACCTGAGAGTGGGGAGGATCTGTGCCAGAGGGCTGCATCAGTTCCGCCAAGGTTGGGAGGGGGAAACCCAAGCCTGCCCCTTCCCCACCAAGTCCTCTCTTCCCTGCAGCCCTCATGCCAGTGGGGGTAGCCAGGAGAACTTGGACAATGACACAGAGACGGATTCCTTGGTGTCTGCTCAACGGGAGCGGCCGCGCCGGAGGGATGGCCCAGAGCATGGTGTGTTTTCTCTGAACAGGGATGCATTCCCCACCCCTCCCTACAGCTTCCACCAGCTTCCCACCTCTTTGCCCTCCTTCCTGAGTATTGGATGTGCAGCCCCTGGTTGCCTCTCACTCCTTCCTTCATTGCTACATGTGGCACTGTGTGAACCCAGTTGCTCCCATCCCTTGTAGCAGCTCGGCTAAACGGAACTGCAAAAGGGGAGAGGCGGCGAGAGCCAGGGGGTTATGATAGCTCCTCCACCCTTATGAGCAGCGAGTTGGAGACCACCAGCTTCTTTGACTCAGATGAAGATGACTCCACCAGCAGGTAGGGCTTAGTTTCATGGGTACTATAGGGCAGGTTACCCTTGAGCCTTGAACCCTGAGGATGCTGGGCTCCCGGGAGGCATGTGGTCTTTATGCTGGGGACCTGGGCCCTGCATTTCCTCTCATGGGGCAGGGCTGGGCCAGCCTGGTGGGGAACGAATGTGGGCCCCACAGGTTCAGCAGCTCCACAGAACAGAGCAGTGCCTCACGCCTGATGAGAAGACACAAGCGGCGCCGGCGGAAACAGAAGGTTCCTCGGATTGAGCGGGTATGGAGACTGGGATGCTGGGGATGGGTAAGAGCAGATTATGAGCTCTTCTCAGGCAGGACCAAGGGTTATTCTTCCGTAGTTTCCTTCCCATTAGTTCAGGGGGAATAGGGGGCTAGTGGTAAGGGCTGACCTTGAGGAAGAGCCAGTCAAGAGTGAATTCCTGCCACCCCTACCTGCTGCTCAGAGCCTCTGTCTATTCCAGTCCTCATCCTTCAGCAGCATCACGGACTCCACCATGTCACTCAACATCATCACAGTTACTCTCAACATGGGTGAGTCTGATATATTGAGCACCTACTATATATGTCAGACACTAGGCAGATACGAGGAGTTCAGCTAGGCATCGAGTGTTATGTTTCCTGCCCTCAAGGAGCTATCTTCCCTAAGTGTCAACAGATACATAAGCTGGTCATTTCAGTATCTCATGATCAGGGCTGTGACAGACAAGTATGGAGAGCTGTGGAAGCAGCAGATGGCCACAGAGAAGGCTTCTTGGAGGAGGTAGTTTCTGAGTGCCTCATTCCTTCCACCTTTCAGCCATTGAATCCTTGTTATCTGGTTTCTACCCTAGATGCTCTTTTTAGGGGACAGCTAGATATAGTAAAAAGAGCCCAGTGTTGGGATTTAAATCTGAGTTTGAATCCTGGCTCTCCTGCTTACTGGCTTAGAAAAGTTATTTAAACTCAATGAACCTCAGTTGCCTACTCTTTAAAATGGGACTAAAGGGCCCCACGTGGTGGCTCATCCCTACAATCCTAGCACTTGGGAGGCTGAGCAGGTAGATTGACTGAGCTCGTACGTTCAAGACCAATCTGAGCCAGAGCAAGATCCCATCTCTGAAAATAGCCGGGCATTGTGATAGGCACCCGTAGTCCCAGCTACTTGGGAGGCTGAGGCAAGAGAATCGCTTAAGTCCAGGAGTTTGAGGTTGCTATGAGCTATGATGTCACAGCACTCTACCAAGGGCAACAAGTGAGACTCTGTCTCAATAAAATTAAATAAATAAAATGGGACTAAAAGTCTCTACCTCACAGCCAGCAAGCATTCAATGATAGCATGTTTGAGCCTACTGAACACAGTGCCTGATTCAGGTTCAGTAAATGTCAGTTCCTGTCATTTTCTGTTTTCTAATAATGGGCTGGGAATTTGGGTAGGAACCTTGCTTCCCCTCAAGGACATAAATTACTCCCTGTAGAAAAATATAACTTCTTGGGCATCTCCATTGTGGGCCAAAGCAACGAGCGTGGTGACGGCGGCATCTACATTGGCTCTATCATGAAGGGTGGGGCCGTGGCTGCCGATGGACGCATCGAGCCAGGAGACATGCTGTTACAGGTACCATTGCCTACCCTTGGCCACAGTGTGGATAGGAAGCAAGGAGACATCCCTACCCTCTGTACCCTGTTTATTCAGAGGCCTTTTCTTTGGGGGGAAGACTTTCTGACTCACCAAGCTGAGTCTCCCACCCCCACTGAATATAACTGTTTATCCCACTCCTGGTTCTCTTTCCCAGGTAAATGAGATCAACTTTGAGAACATGAGTAACGACGATGCGGTCCGGGTACTGCGGGAGATTGTGCACAAACCGGGGTATGGATGGAATGGCGCACTGGGGAGGACAGGGCAGGCATTTCTGGTTGTCAGGCAAAGGACTTGGTCTGGCCTACACATTACATGCCCTCACTAGGACATCCTTGTTTTCAGACCCATCACCCTGACTGTAGCCAAGTGCTGGGACCCAAGTCCACGCGGTTGCTTCACATTACCCAGGAGTAAGTGGATGGGGGACTTAGTCCTAAAACTGGTGCTTGACATAAGAGTACATGAGCCCTGTCTCTCCTTTCTTCTATGTTGCCTTGAACCCCCAAGCCTATCCTCTTGTGCCCAGTAGTGTGCCCAGTAGTGGGCAGGGTAGCAGCCCATGACTCCTCATCCTCCCTGCAGGCGAGCCTATCCGGCCCATTGACCCTGCGGCCTGGGTCTCCCACACTGCAGCCATGACGGGCACTTTCCCTGCCTATGGCATGAGCCCCTCCCTGAGCACCATCACCTCCACCAGCTCCTCCATCACCAGTTCCATCCCTGACACAGAGCGTGAGTGTCTAACCCTATCTCCTGGGCCCCAGCAAAAAGAGCCAGGTGGGAGGGCAACTCTTCCTTGAGCATCAGAGGGGAACTCAGCGCATTCCAGCTACACCCCACACTGCAACTTCTCCCAGTGGGCACTCAGACCCTCACTAAACAGTGTTTGCTTCTTATCCTGTATTGAACACCCAAGGTGCCTCAGTTTCCTCTTGTAAAATGGGACTAACAACAAATGCCTTGCCAGGTTCCTGTGGGTTTAATGAAAGGATATAAGTCAAGCATCATGACAGTGTGTGGCATAAAGTAAGCATTCAATAAATGATGTCCATTTTTATTCTCATAACATGCACATGTGCTAAAAAAAAAACATTCATTTATATTATTTAGTTCTTTCTTCAAATATCCTTGTAAAGTAGAATTAAAATCCCCATTTTTACAGAAGGGGAAACTGAGTGTCCACGAAGTCAGTACCTACAATTCACCCAGTATTGGTCCTATAGTTATTGGATGGCAGAGCTGGAATGTAAACTCTTGTCTCCTCTACTTCAAAGCCCCTTTCTGCCTCACCATTCTGCCTCCCACCCTCAGGCCTAGATGACTTCCACCTGTCCATCCACAGTGACATGGCCGCCATCGTAAAAGCCATGGCCTCCCCTGAATCAGGGTTGGAGGTCCGAGACCGCATGTGGCTCAAGATTACCATCCCTAACGCTTTCATCGGTGAGAGAGCCCCATGATGGGATGAAGGACGGGTGGGGAATAATGGGGCAGGGCAGGCCAGGGGACTTAAGAGCTCCCTTGGACCACTCCTTTGAGCTGGAACCAGCTCCCGCCTCATAGCATCTGTGAGGCCAGATGAGCCTAAGTCAGATGGGCTTCCCAGTCAACTGGCAGCCTTGCCCCCAGGCTCAGATGTGGTGGACTGGCTGTACCATAATGTGGAAGGCTTCACTGACCGGAGGGAGGCCCGCAAGTATGCCAGCAACCTGCTGAAAGCTGGCTTCATCCGCCACACTGTCAACAAGATCACCTTCTCTGAGCAGTGCTACTACATCTTCGGCGACCTCTGCGGCAGTATGTGCCTCCTCTACCTTCTTGCCCTATCTCCTGGCCGGGAGGGGGGAGGTGCCCAGGGATGTGGCAGCAGATGCAGGAACCCAAACTTTAGGGCAACAGAGCTGGAAGCCCAGCTCAAGGTCTAGGAGTTGTGTAGTGGGAGCAGTGTTCTAGCCTCTTTACCTGCCCTATATCTTA